ACTACAAAAAGTGAAAAGTAGCATTAAAACACTCGAGTTACCTACAGCAAAAAAAAAAAAAAAAATCGTAAGAATAGTGCTACAGGATGTCTTCACTGCAAAACCGTTTTAAGATACTCGAGTTAATCCTACTGCACTGAGCTGAGTCAAAGCTTACATTAAAAGTTTACTGCTCTGTCCCTACTGTTGCAAACTGAGGATTGCACTCCCTGACTATCAGGCTGACTGCAGGTTTGCCCCCTCTCTCAGGCTATAGGAACGTGCACTTGGGAGAGGAGGACTGACCTTTCAGTGCAGTCTGATCATTGTACCAGTGCTACCACACTGTAAATCTGCACCTAATAAGATGGAAAATATTCATCTGAGAGTGCGCTTTTTAGCAAAACTGAAGGTTTTGGACTTGTAGAGTTAATCATCAGACAAGCAGAAACTCAGCACAGATTTGAGTGTCCTAAGGCAAAAACAAACAAACAAAAAAATCAAATAAATTAAAAGTACAGCATGAGAAATGCACCTGCAAGAAAGCACCTGCAAGTGTTTTCTTTCTTTACCTCTTCTCTGACATACGTAGAATTAATATGACATGCCAAGCAGACTCAGTAATACATGTAGTAAGGATAAGACGGTATAGAGAGAAATATTGTCTTGAAATCTGCATCTCTGGCTAGATGCTATTTGGCATCCTGACAGATTCTGTCTTTATTAGTTCATTGCTTGAATTACCTAATTGCTGAAGTTTATTAAAATAGATTTTAGCTCCCTAAAAGCATAGAGAACATTTAATTTAACACTGAAAGATCATTCAATGAAGAGGATTTCTGTTAAGAACCTTGCTATTTAATATTGCTCTTTAGAAGTCTTGCAGGGTACAGGACTTTCACAGTGCCATCTGCGGCAATTTCATCTATGCCAATTTTGGCCAAACCCTGTAATATAATTACTCAATTAAAAATAAAAGATATTTCACAAAATAGGTTAGCAAATTGCTTCTGTAGTCCTCAGGGGGACACCAGATAAATCATATTCTCCTTCTGTTACTTCAGGAATAGAAATCAGAAAAGTTCCATTTATGATAGTTTTTACCCTACATAAATACATTTGTATGCATTACATGTGTAAATGCATAAGCTATAGTAATTTTTTTCCAAATACATAAGCTACTACACAGAAATAGCTTCCTTTTACACATCTATACAAGCATTACCTCAGTGATTCTAAGATTTAGAGAAGTTAATTTTTTTTCCTTATTCAACATTTCTGTACTTCCAGCATCAGGATACAACCAACATTCAGCAGAGCCTGTAACAGGGAGAAGGAAACCTTGAACTGCCTTAACCTGCTCAGCAGTTAGTTAGATTTGATTGGCTTCTTGTTGTGCAGGGTCTCCATGGGGAGACCAGTACAAAGCAGCCACTCATCACATTATAGATCAAACGGTTCAAGTGCACAGTGTTTTATTAGTTCTCACATCCTATTTCAAAGCTTTCCACTTCAGGAGACCTCAATTCACCTCTCAGCAAACTTGGCGCAAGAAGGGAACAAACCTGTCTATGACTGTGACAAGCTAGCATGAAAATTACCCCCCAGAATAGCAGGTGCTGATGCGGCACAGGAAGAGAACTTACCACCTTCCTCAACCTGAGGGGCCTATGGTGTTGTCTGCAAAAGGCAAAAAAAGACAAGGCAATTTAAATCCCATGCAAATTAAGAGAAAATTTTACATCTTCTCTACAAAGACCACTAATGCACTACCAAGTTCAGCACAGGTTTCCCACAAAGCATTACCAATGTCCAGCAATTAACATTTTCTTCTAAACCTCTGCCACCTTCCCCTGCCCTAGTGCCCTCCAGACACCAGCACATGGCACTGCAGATGCCGGGAGAGCCGAAGGAGAGCAGCCCACTGAGGGGATCCCCGACAGGCACCATGTGGGGAATGAGGGAACCACCATGCTAAAAGGCCTCTGCTGCCCTCAAGATCAGAGGTGGCTCAGCAGCTCTGGGTAGGCTGCTCTGGTGTGCCCGCACTCAGCTCTTCCTTCCCACCTGGGCAGACCCAGCCGTTCCTCTCACCACCGCCCTCCTCCAGAGCCCCTTTATCTTTGGTGCAGCACCCACCACCATGGCACGGTGCCTCACCTACCACAAAGCTTCCAGCAAACAAAATGGCGCTGCAGAGAGGCCGCTATGGGTGACATCCAATGCCAGCCCCACAAGCTGTCGTCTCTCAAGGGCTGCTCCTGCTGCCAATCAGAGCGCCAGCCTATCAGAGATCACTCTGGGACCAGCGGGCTCTGCCCCCCACTCTTCAGGACAGAGGAGGGAGCCATGAGCACCACTGAGGCAGCGGCCACCATGGCCCGGCTTCCCTGGGGCGGAGAGCTGCACCCGACGGAGTTTTCCTCTCTGCAGCTGTACAAGGAGGTGCCTGAAAAATTCGGGGTGCTCCACGCTGCCTCTCCTCAACTAAATCAATCTCAGACAATCATCCGCATGTTAAACTTCAAAGTCAGCTCAGTTCCACTCATCCCATCTTGGAAAACACTTGCCTTCCAATGTTACACCAACGTCAGGCAACAAATAGGGTCTCTTAACAGGGCAACTATGCTTTTCATGCAGTCTGTGCTTTCCTGCCATTCCTGTAACTGGACGGCAGCTGTGTGGCCAGATTATCCTAAGAAAAAGCATTCAGTACAGGATTACATATTGTCCCATTTCATTAGCATGCAGAAAATGCAGCAAAATCAAATCCTCATTCCTCAAACTCATTATGGACATGCAGCAGTAAATTCTAGCAAAATTTTGAAGGTTTTTGTATGCAGAGTCCTCGATTGCCTTTGGTAATACAGAAGGAATAATGCTGCATAATAAAAAAAAAGTGGGGAAAAAAGAGGAAAATTTAAAATAGAAAGCAATCATCACTGTGCACACAGATGCCACATTTTCATTGTTTTTTTATTTAAGAAGGACCTTCAGTTTAGTTAGTTGGCTCACACTACCTTCCTTGTTCAATCAGGGTACCGGCCCCGCAGCCAGAACAAGCCACCGGCCCTGTGGCGCTGGCCCCTCTCCCGCCGAGGGCTGAAAAACCTCGCCGGATTAAGCTCTTACGTTAGGCACCTCTGTGAAGTGTCTAAAGTTAGGCTGGATGAATGCAAGCCAAGCTGTTGAACAGATGGAGTGAAATCCTCCTCTTGATAACAGGAACTTTATATCACTGCCATGGCTAAGAAGGGCAGCTAAAAAAAGTCAGGGAGGTGGTTATATAAATTTCAAGATGGCTTACCAGTAATGCTTAAAGGTAAAACTTTCTGATAGATCTTGAATATCCACTTCCAGCTGCAGACCCTGAGCAGCCAAGAAGTTCTGCAACAAAAATGAGATCGTAACACTAGAGCTAGCATGCTACGAGGCCACAGGAACTTAGTGATGCGGCACAAACGTGCAAAGCATTAGCAAGTTGGAGCCTGGAGCACAAGAGACAAACCCCAGCATGAGCAGAGTGGTGCTTGTCTCGAGTTCAGTGCGCAAAACCAGTCGAGAGGCATATATGATCAGAAAAGTGACTGACTACTAGCAAATAACTAACCGTCTTAATGCCAAAAATGCTACCAAATACACTCAAATCCTTTTCGCTTACAGGTCTGTAAAATACTCGTGCTTATAGCAGCTCTGAATGTTTTGGTTGGTTTTTTTTTAACCTCACGTATTGATAGTCTTGAACATCTGCAAATACACCTTTCTTATCTTAAAAATGATCTGCTTCATTGTCTTTCACATGTAGTTGCACTTTAAACATGTGCGTCTCAGCACAGGATCCATTTTCCTTCATTAGCTGTGGATATTTTACATGGAGTCAGATGTGAAATACATTGCTAATAGTTATTTTCAAGCATCAAAATCTTTCAGGTAGATCTCTAAAGTAATCCCATGACTGGAAACTGGCTATAAAATGTTTCTTATAAAACACTGTGAAGAAATTAGTTTCTCATTATGCATGTTACATGTCCAAACTAAAATGGGGAATATATGCTGCATGCAATTTTGAGGTAATGTTTACTTAGAGAGTGAAAGAGATCTGAACAATAAAGCAACTTTTCCCCTCCCTTTAAGTATGTCATTTTTTGGAGGAAAGAGGAAGCTATGCTATTTCCCAGACCCTTTGGGAAGATAAGTAGATGAAGTACTTTGGGCTTGAGTTGTTCCTTCTTCCCCCCTGCTCCCCCATCCCATATTTACCTTCAAACTTTCTCCAAAAGTTGTAATTATTGAGAAATTGCAGAACTGAAGTTACCAAGAGATGCACCTCTGTGAAAGACAAAGCAGCAAGGACTATGGACAACCTTATAATGCCATTCTCTCAAAGCAGAAGTATGGCTAGAAAAGTGACAGCGTGATAACAGCCTCCTAGAGCAGGGCTGCTTTTGGAGTCACCTTTAGTCATTTTGGTGACAAAAATACATTTTTACTCCTTGTTATCTCTGCAGAACACACACAGCTAGGGGAGCATGCTCTGCACTGTGACCCAATTAGTACAGTCATCCAGACGCACAACTAAACCCTACGTTCAGCTATGACTAGAAAATCCTAGTGAAGATGACGTGAACGACACTTGACCCCATAGAATTTGTTACTGATGATGATAAGCAGAGCTAGCCTACCTTTATTTTGCAGATCCAAGCACAATTTGGAGGGCCATGGAAAAAAAAAATGTTCTAAATTGGAAACGTTTGAGAAATACTGAGTCACAAGCCTCAAGCTGCACAAGGTCATTTTTGCAGTTTCTTTTTTCAGAGCAAACCCTAGATTTTATTATAGAAAGCAGTGTTGGCAACACTTGGAATATGCAGTCTTTTTTAGTAAAGCCCTTTGCGGCATGACTGTAGTCTCAGTCTTAGAGAAGCTTGCAGATGCTACTGCTTCTACTTTAAGAAGAGAATTAGTTTTATATTGCAAAATATTTAATTAATTTCATGTTAAAATGAAATGAAACAACAAAATAGTTATACAATTTTACTAGTTTATATTTCAATTCATAAAGTATACACACTGCAACTATGCTACCACAATGTCCACGCATCTAATATTGATGGAGTTACAGTATATTTTTTTTTTTTGGTATTAAACAATAGAGATAATGTATGCAGTTAAGGAAAAAAGCTTGGACATAGCATGTTCTATTCCGTAGTTACAGAGTACATTAGCTAGCATTAGTACAGTAAACAAGAAAAAGGTAGAAATACAAAATAAACCAAATATCTTTATATACAAACCAGTGCCTCTTATTGTTACCAGCTTATACTCACACTGCACACAAAATTTATCCACTGATGCAATAGATACTTCAGCATAACACAAACCAGTATAAATTAAAAAAATTACAAGGTGCAAAACTCCATTCTACAGCTTTCTGGTGAGAACTCAAGACAATCCAACGAATAAGAAATCCAAGCACGTTTAGCACCTATTAGTGCAACTGCATCGAGCGTGAAAAATGACCTACACAATCTCTGAACGTGTTACCAGGGAAGCCAGTCGGATAGCTATAGATGCTCACAGCTACACTCACGCAGTGATTTTTGCCTCATATATATCTCAGTTTATTGTTTCCTTGTCCCATTCATACCTATGTGCAAAACTAAATCCTGGAAGCTTTCTCAGAGCTTCACAGAAGGCCTGCTACAGCCGGGTAAAAACAAACAAACAAAACAAAAAACAAAAAAACTGACAAAAATCAGACAAAAAGACTCAATTAAATGTCAGACCATCCACATAATTAGTATGTATGAGCAGTCCTGGTGTTGGGGATTTCAACGCTGTTGATATGTGGATCAAACAATATGACACAGAAGTGAAACGGAAATTTGCCAAGAATTCTGATTATTCTTGTCTAGCACTTAGACAAGTCTCCCAGCCTCAGGTTGTGAATTTGTTTGGCTGCCCATGCCAAAAAAAGCCCAGAGTTGCATAGAATTGATTAGTAACAGAAAGAAATGCCAAACACAGAGAGATGGATGCTGCATCTACTAAAACAAAGTGGGGTTGCTCGACAGGAATGCTGAAATCATCCCCATTCATAAAGCAAAACATGTCACCTCCTACTCTCCATATCCTACCTCTGGGGACTGCTTTCTGGCACTGATGTAGTTCTTGCTAAAGTTGTCCTTTTTTGTTGTTTGGTTTTTCATTTTTCCTTTTTTTTTCTTTTTTTTTTTCCTTTTTTTTTACTTTGTTAGTGACACTTTTCCTTTCAAATAAAATATTAAAAAAGGTTATAACTGTAAAAAAACCTATCATATGTAAACTTAACAATTAGGGTTTGGTAAGTTCTCGTACCTAGTCTGTGAAAAGCCTCCAGCCAGACCGCAGAATGGAGTGTTTCTCTGAAGAGCTTCAATCTAGCTACATCACCTGTTAAATATCAGTAGTATGAAGATCCCATGTCTAGCAATAAACCCTTTCTTGTGTTTCCATCCTCTTTATCACTGACCTATTGAAATCCTGACATGCTGTGTTTCTATTTTATTTACATTCTGGTCCTCTCATGTCACAGAATTAAACATCTGGCCAAGGAAGGCAACAAAAGGTGTGGTGTTAAGAAGGTGTATTTGACAGAACTGCTTTTCAACAAGTCTCTTTTCCTTGGACTCCAGTCACTGTTTTTATAGAGCTTATTGTTCTGTTGAACCATGTTTTCTTTGCAGCTTGTACTTCATTCAATGCCAGACCCAAATGGTGCTCCAAATCCTGCGAACAGAAGAGTAATTTCATAAACTTGTTATGTATTCACAGTACAAGGTTATATGACTAACTTAGAAGGCTCTAGGACATCTACAATCTCTTGGCCACTTTAGAAGTTAAACAAGTCTTAGATAAATTAAAAGTAGCACAAGCTGATGAAGAAAAAAAAAAGCTTTGAAAAGCAAAACAAGACTTGTGCCATTGCCCTTAGTGAAACATTCAGCTTTCTTTAGTACATCCAAAACCTTTAATTCTTTCCCATCTGAGAAGGAGCTATTCCCACAGGAAGTGGACTTTGTACAAACTGATTTTTATGTTTCTGTGAACTGACATACCAGTTTTAGGGTAGAACAACAATGTCATATTTTATGCAAATACCTCAACCACCCGGAGTGCTTTCCAATCATGTTTTAAGAAACATGTCTAACATTTGTCACATGTTACTTCTTCATTGAACATTGATTGTGAGATAAAGGAATGCATGATTCAGTACTTTGTAAGAGCTTGGATTTCTTCCAAGAAGTTGCAGATCAGTCAGTAAGTACTGCACTGCAGCCAGGCAGATGTCTGGAGGTTGTAGTAGCTGGTAAATACAGTTCATGCAATTTCAATTATTTTGTCTGCATACACTAAGTTTCAGACCCAATGTTTGGTTAAATAACCCATGCAGGAAATAGCAGGTTACAGTTTCAACCAACAGGATGTGTTCCAATCCCTCTACAACACACACATTTTTTCTAGGAATGCAGACATACCATACAGACTACAAAATGAACCTCCAAAGCATTACCTGTATTTTACATTCCGCCTCCACAAGCTGCAACTTGGTCTGGGCCAGCTCAAGCTCCATTTCCCTCAGCTGGTTTTTCAGCGTTTCCTTCTCCTCATCTGTGTCCTCATCTGAACCATCCTTGGCAGAACTAGCAACTTTCACACGGCCTTCTTTATTGAAGAACTCCCGGCAATGCTCACAGTCATCCACTTTTTGCTAAAGTAAATACCTGATTGTGAATGCTTGCGTTGAAGTGCTGGTGATATGATCAAAACCTATTCCTGCCTCTGCTCTGGAAGAGCAGCACAACACAAGAGGGACCACTAATGATTTGCAAACTCAGGGACTTTTGGGGAAGCACAGCCAAGCAGGAACTCCTGCCGCCCCCAGATTTATGGCTCTGGAAACACTGCTGAATTTTTGGTAACACTGTGTTGCCACAATAATGGGCTCTGTACTGACTGCATGTTACTTCATGGTAAAAGAGAAATCTCCTCCAGAACAAAAAAAAAAGACCCCTCAAAAACTTAACAGTTGTTACTGCCCAGCATCAACATTAGTATGTAACCAATACGGCACAAGAGAGAGCTGACAGTTACTCATCTCTTCTCCAAGATCTTCCCCTTTCTTTTGCAAAGAAAGATCTCCTTTCCAAAATTGTGACTAAGGAACTCTCAGCCACCACTTTAGTAATAAAATAAATTATGTGCTTGCTGTTACGATTTTGCTATGAGATTTAAACATTGTAGACTGTGGATCTATCTGGTCTCTTACCCGTATTTTCTCAATTTCAGCTTTATTTGCTGTCTGTTGCTTTTCCAGTCGCTCACTCAGCTGGGAACAAATCTGACAGGCAAAATTATGTTACCAGACCATTTATAAATGTAAATTGCCTCCCAAATGAATGCTAAAGCACCAATAAATGCTACAGAGTCTGAGGGCTCTTAGAAAGCCATGAGAATTAGGATGCTGCATTAACTTGTCTCATATTCTCATTCAGTTGTACATATTCTCATTCTCTACATGTTCTTCTATGCCCACAGGAAAAGGTGCAGTTTCAATGTAAGTTACTAGCAGTTTGGCCTTGCTAAAGGAGCCAGAAATGGTTAGGAATAGCATGGCTCTTTTTGTTGCCTGTAGGATAAAACAACCAGGCAAGACAATCAGAGTAGTAAAAAACCCAGTTCATTCCTCAAGACCTGTGTGATGCAGACTTACGAATGTTTTGAAGGTTATGGGCCCACTAAAGAGATACATAAATTTGTTCCCCGGGAGCTTGAATTCCAAAGCAAAATCTTTGAAAGGAAAAAGGCATCTTTTCTATTTCTTAAGGGCAGTTGCCATTTGACTGAAGAAGGGAAGCTAGGAGAGAACATTTTTTTGGAATGTGGTGAACCTTTGACATTGAATGAGCCCATTTGAACAACGTTAGGCTGTAACCGAGGCTGGGGTGACTGATGACCTACAAATACCTACATCAGGGGCAAACAAAACTGACCACCAAGCATCAGGATCTCAGCAAAAGAAAATGCAAAACCAACCACAAGCTTCCCATTTAAAATAGCTAAAATGTCTCCTGAATTGCATGGCACTTATTTCCAGAAATCTCCTAAAACACCTGAGAAAGTCTTGCAATTTGATAGCAAACCACATCATCATTAAGTTGCACTTACCTGTTTGTAGTCACCAATAATAGAGCTGTTCTTTTTGATCTCTGACTCTGCCTTATCTAGTTCTCTACGACACATTTCCTTCAGCTGCAGAAAAAAAAAAAAAAAAAAGGGTTTAGATATTCATACAGTCTGAAAAAAAAAACCAGGTGGTATTTCCTCCTTCTCCTGAACCTCACTGCTATACTCTAGAGCAGGGAGAGCAATGGTCTAGCTCAGCTCCATGCAGACAAGGAAAAGCTGGCCTTCGGTGGCCATCATTGTTAGAAAAATTGACTAGCTAAGAGAAGAAAGTATTAAAAAAAAATAAAATGCTGACATCTGAAGTCCTATACTGTCTCTCTGGGCAGCAATCTCTGGCACAATCTGTGCCTTCATGATTTCAAGTTAAAAATTCACTACCCTATGAAGCACCTGGCACGAAAGCAAAGAATTCTGCTTTGCTGACATCCTTTACAGGAGGAGGACTAACATGACTTCAAACGTTAAGCCCTTCCCACACTTGTCACTTTTTTATTTTATTATTTCTGTACTGCACAGACAGAAATGTGAAAACAACAAAAACGCCCCTAACCTGAGCTGATTCTTCTTCTAGGCGCCTCTTTTCTTCTTCTGCATCAATCAACTTCTGTTTGGTCATTAGCAGTTCCTTATTCAGAGCATCTGCCTTTTCCTCCGCCTGAAACACAGGGAGTGGAGCACAGCACTGAAGAGGCTTTCTCACTGCCTATGCTGCTGGGCAGCCATGGGCTCCAGTAGGATGCAGCCAAGATAATTGTCTTTTCGTTCTCATTAATAAGGGTCTGTTCATTGTTATTAGTAACAGTAAAACTTTATTCTGAAAATTATTTTTCTAAAAATTGCCATCTGCAATGGCAAAGCAGCAACAAATCAAAATTAACAAAGTATACAGCTACACTCCATCACTCCAAAACTCCTCTTTGAATTCAATGATTAGTTTTAGCAAAACTGGAGCAAGGATTGCTCCAAAGAAATCCAGTAACAGAAATAAATTTTGTTTTCTCATCCAGACTGGAAGTTGACCAACACATTTTGAAGACAACAAAAGGCACAGAACAGCTCAGGATGTGCAAGATTGATAAAAGACTATAACCAGCTCAGACCTAAGTTCAATTTGCAAACATTCAACCTTGCAATGAAAACAGAATTAATGAAAAATGCCTCTAGAACTCTATGACATCAACCGATGGATGTGATACCATCTTTATTAAGTCACCCAGAAAATACTGCATGGAAAAACTTAACTGCTAAAATAAACGCAAGAGTCAGATCCCTCTCTCCTTAAAGAAAAGAGATGTCCCACCAGAAACCATGCAATCCTTTTTTGCTGCATTTTTTTTCAGAATAAAGACGTATTGTTGAAAAATCTCAGGCTCTTTATAAACCACTGAAAACTCTCTCTGCAAAGTTAAGACACCTTTTCCTGGCTTATATGCAGCAATGCAGTTACTTCCCAATAGGTGTATGAATTCTACATAAAAATAGATCAATAACTCAACTGCTATATAAAATCTTCAGAAAGTAGCTGTACCAATTCCCTTCAAAGGAAGAAAATCAAAAAATGAATTTTAGTCCCTTAAAGTCCTGCTGATCCTTTAAAAAGATGGCAAAGGCAAAGAGAACATCTTTTCATTATACATGGGTTTTGAGCTGTTTTAAAGTTAAAGAAAACTGGGATGTGGGAGTCCAACAACAGTAGAAAAATGAAGCCTATTTTCTGGTCTTAGTGCAAAGGATATTAGGGAAATTCTTGTATTTCCAAATGCTTCGCTTTGATCTTTTGGGCTGCAAGATTTCAGACAAGCCATGAAGGTATTAGAAAAGGGCGGTTAAACAATGTCCTTTGGTACTTTTCTTTCAGGACATCTAGCTAGTAGAATGAAACTTAGCATTTCAGGATCCAATTAGAAGACTTAATCAGGGTCCTAAAGTAGGATCAAATCTACCTATCTCCCTCTGGGGGATAACCCAAATGCTGCCACATCATTTACCATCTTTAAAAGCATGGCTATTATATATCCAATGAGGTATCTTAAAGATTTTGCTTAATTTTGTTCCTCTCAGCTCTCCATTTAAACGAATCAATGTAAAAGCATAACTGTGTCTCATACAGGCTCAAGCAGCCACAAACAACAGTTAATAGCTGATACAAAAAGCTTGTTCAGTACATTTTTTGCTGGAGTCCACCCTCTGAGTGCAACCGCTGGGCAGTCTGCAAAGCCTTCTATGAGCTATCTTTAATGAAGTGAAAAAGCACAGGTAACAAGAAGTGAGCATACCAAAGCTTTGTGAAAACCCTGTTTCTAGAACATGCTGCTATGATTCACCAATTTTAATACTAAAGAGCAGTAGATGAAATAAACGTGAAAGTCATAAACCAAACCTCATTAAGAGCAACATTCACTCATTAGCATCAACATTTACTATGAATATTTTTCCAACAGCAAGTTTCCAGGAGACTGTGGGGAATCTTAAATTCTCTGAAGTAGATAAGCTGAAACATTTTAAATCCTGTCAACTCCTGCACTGTACAGTTTTCAAAAGTCATTTTCCTTTCAGATTTCAGAAATGCACTTATCTTGATACAGAACAAGAATGGCAAAACACGAGCACTTGAACTCTTCCCCTCATCTCCCCACTCAGACAGACTAAATGCATTCTAGCCTAGCATGAGCATTACAAATGCCAGTACCTTTCTGTCTCTGCATGCCCTGTAAAAAAAAGCGTACCCTAATAAAATCTCCCAAACATAAGTATGTAAAGCAGGGAATGGGACAACGAGCTTAAAAAAAAAAAAATAAAAAAAATTTCTACAACACAAAGCAAACCCGAAGTTTCCTCCCGAGAGCTCTACTGATATGGGAAACAACCCAGGATGATGAGTTCAACAAGCCAAACGAAAACCACAATAACATTTTCAGAGCTGCCTAAGGTACCTGAGAATCTGATTCATCCGAGAGCCCGACAGACTCAGACTTTCAAGTTTATTAGGCAATTTGCAAAAGCCTGTCTGCTGTGAAATCTTATTCATAAGAATACCAGTTGAAGGAAAACAGAATACAGCATCCATGTTATTATTGCTCTGACAATACAAAGACTTGACTTAGCTCCTGCTAGACTTTCTTTTCATTTACCTAGAGAAGAAAGCAACTACCCAAGTACAGGCTCAGAACCTCTCCTCTCCCTCCAATTACTCTGAATGCTTTTCAGTAATTAGTATTTCAGTCACCAGTCCTGTTTCCCACGGACCTCTGACACAGACCTATATATCATCGGTCTGCAATAAGGACACGGAGGAAAGAATACTATCCCACCCAAATAAAATATAGTCTAGGTACCTCCTCTCCAATGAGAGGAGTAATGAGGAATTAGCCTAGTACCTTGTCTCTACTAAACAGCATAAAGACATCTTACATTGTCTAAATCTTTTCGCAGAGCAATCTTGCTAGTCACCAGCTCATGGGCAAGATCATCGTTTTCTTGCTCAAGCCTCATGTTTGCTTCTTGTAGGCGCCGGTTTTCACGCTGTGGGAAACAAAACAAAAGAAATGAAGTAAAGGGTCTTCCCAGGTGTTTGTCTGTAAAACACAATGCTTACTGTGCCTGAGTACAAATGCCTACCTTACATCTTAAGTATACAAAGACAACTCTACCTGCATGAAAGTCAACGAGGACAAAACTAGCTAGCCGTATTGTAAAGAAAAAAATAAATACAATATTAGTCTTGAGAAGAAACCACATGTAAATAACTCTGCTCAGCTATTACTTGTTGAGCTACAGAAGTGATTTTGAAGAATGCAATAGTAGAGGTGTCATTCTGCCATTAATACCTTGCCAGGAGGTTACTACAAGTACTGATTTTCTTGGCTCAAAATAGAATTTTCATGCTGGAAATAGGCGAGAGAGAAGGATCCTGGGAAAACCACTCTGTTTTCTCCTGTTACAACTCCGAGCACACAGACAGATAGTAAAGAAAGTTTACATAAAACTCTTCAGCTTAAAATATATAAAATTATGTATGTATGTCTGTGTTAACATGTTACATATACGCATACATAATTTCACATATAAAATTAATTCCTATATTATATTTATTTGATAAATAAAGTATAAAATTATATACTTACTGTAACATACATCATTTGAAATTAGGGAGAGGAGTGAAGGCAGGATTGTAATCGGTGGAAGGCAGAGTTATAAGCAATTAGGCATTTTCTTTCTGTTCATGGCTTTTGGTGCAATTAACATGTTACACAAGTGCTAGAGATAGGCTCTAGTGAAACAGTTGTATAAACGCAAATATAAATTCATACTGTTCCTGTTTTCATGGTGAAGATGGGCTCACAATCGCCCCAACCTGATTAACATTGCCCATATAGAGAGATTCACTTGATGTTCATATAGCTGATTCCCTGTTGCATCCAAATTGGTGACAAAACAAAGAAAACAGCTCAAAGAAAAAGGAGTCAAAGTAGGAACTTCCTGCAGGTACTGTGTGTTAAATCAGATTGGAGCAGGTAAGCGTTACCTCAAATCTTTCTATAGGGTCCTCCTGTTGAGCTTGCTGCTCTCTCATGGTATGATATTCCTTTTCATATTTCTTCAGCTTCTTCTGGCTAATCTAAATTAAAGCAGTCCATTAGTTCCTGCCCAGAACATCAATAAAAGAAGACAATTCAAAACAGGTTATGGTATAAGTTTTAGGCAACTCCTGCCTTCTACAAAACACAGATAATGTCTTCACTCAATTTTGAGTATCAAACCCTTAGACATGGTCAAAAATTCTATTCCACTCAATATAATCACAGAAGCATCCCTTCCTCTTATCCTTTTGTGGAACATAGAGAAGGTTTTGAAAGGCATCCACAGGAGCATCCTACCTGAGTTTTCCTTGGTGCTGCACAGCTATTTGATGCTCCAAATACTACAGTGGCTTAGCATAACAGATTGCCTCAAAAACCACAAGATGTGTTTAATTTTTGAACTAGCATGATGCTAAGGTTTCTTCAGCTGCTTTTTCAGCTGTAATATTTATCATCATGCAGAAGTGTTTGGTTTATTTTACACGAGACTGCAAACGCTGAAAGGGCAAGTGCAGGCTCAGCTGACATTTCTGCTAGTGTCATTCAAGCTCAGTAGAAAACAGTCCAGTCCCAGAGTTGCCTAGGCATCTTGGCAAGCAGCAACAACTCAGAAGCATGCTGTGTCCCCTAACGCTCCGGGATTTGGGAGGCTGGAATTCTGTCCTCAGCTCTGACAGACACACAACATAGGAAAGTGACTCTCTCAGGGTCCCAGTTTCCCCTTCTGTGAGAAGGGAGAGAAAGGTGGTGTTGAATTCAGTATTTTGTGCACAGTGCTCAAGTCCTATAGGGACAGAGAACACAAGAGAACCTGTAACAGATCCTGACCAGCATCTTTCCTTGCATCACCTGTGCCGTATCCTACAATGGGTTAGCAACACAGACAATGCCAAGACCACTGTGAGCATTTCACATGCAAGTTAGTATGCATCTAAATTAAATGTCTAGTATTAAAAGTTGCTGCTTAAACTTTATTATTATTTCAGTAAATCAAATAAATTGAAAAGCTATGGATACATTTTCTTCCTTAAAAAAGCCTTGTCTGAGAAAGATGTTAAACAAACATTACATGCATAAATGACAGGCAGAATGGAAAACATGTTTGGTTTCTCTTATCTTTGGTTTTATCATTAACAACCTTACTTGAAAAGAACTGTAGAAAACTGGTAGCTAGGCTCCCTCTAGTGAGAGCTGCACAGAAACATTTTGCAGTACTTGAGCTGACATTTTTTTTGGAGATGCCAGCCCATTTATCTGGAGTCAGTCCAGGCACATCACAACTGCAGAAGTTATTCTTACTAAGCACTCCAGACAAACACACAGAGCATTAACCCTTTACGGACAATGAAGTCAGTAACTTCAGTTAATCATTTCACAGCGCTGCCCCTGCTGAAACACTGCCCAAACTATTGGGTTTCATACACCAAATCTCAAGCTATGCAAAGGTTAGATCTTGAGCAGCGAGGCATCCAGCCACATTAGAGGAAAGGAAGGCAGGCGCACCATTGTACTTTCATCTTCTCCTTTTCCAAGTGCATTAAACCAGTTTTGCCTCTAGATACCAATAATGAGGTGATTCTGAGAAGATTTGCTGTTGTCACTGATTCTGGACATTGGAGGGAATCATGCCCTGGGGACATTAGCAAGGCCGTTGGGTGTGCATGGTGAGAGAAGGCAGAAACGAACACTGAAGTCCCACCGTAGATTTTCAGGGGCACAGGAGGCAGTAGTAACTCTGGTAACATTTGACCGCAACATTAAGGAGTCACTTTAAGAATCCAGCGTTGTCTCAAGCTGATCATTTACTGACCTCCTTTCCAGCAGAATGCTGCTGTAATTACAATGCCTTAGTCAGGCTACTTCTCCCTTCCTATAAATTATTTATTTTGACATCAGGCCCTTTTCTGCTCAAAAACGCTTCCAGATACAGAGCTGGAGATTTCTACTGTCAGCAAAGGACTTATATTTTAGGTCAAAGAAAGCAATTATGTGCAGCACTCCCATCGAGGGCACCACACATGGATGTGACACAAGTGTTCAGTATCTGTGCACAGCCCCGTCATGCAGTCTGTACTTCCTCCATAACCTTCCATTTAATCCCCTCAAAACCACACAGCACTCAAGGAAGCAGTGGACAACAGCACTGGGAACACAGGGAATTTTGGCAGAGTGGGAAGAGGAACAAGTTGTTATTCGGAAACATGAAAGGCAAACGCACTCATTACACATGATCTTAACCAGATGCACGTGCGACATCTATACTGTGACCAATGTTAAATGATTGGAGAGCTAAAATAGCTTACTTTATTCTTGATAATTCCATAATTTCTACACTAGTTTCATATAAGACATGCTTGAACTCTATGCAGACTACTGCTGTGTGTACTGCTACTACACCAGGAGTACAAGATGCCTTCAATGTTAACATCATAGGGAAGTTGTGTACTTATGCACTGATGCTACAAAGAATTCCTCTAGTGAAATTTAAAGAAAAAGGATACGTGGAACCATACCAGTGTATTTGACGAAAACTTAATCTACACAAAATGATAAAGAAAGAATCAGAGCTTCCTTAAAATACACAAAATAAATTATTAAAGTTCCATTTTAGAACTCAATCGTTACATCTATAAAGAGGAAACAATAACTTCCTAAGTGTAACTTTTTTTTGGGTAATTTCATTTTAAGGGCTTAGTTCGACATGCCCCTATAAAGCTTAATTACAATATTTAACAATTAGAAAAGCAATTGACTTTCAGTTGTGAGGTAGTGCAATATTTGCTATATATAACTGAAGTCTTAATGTCCAAAGCTAGAACTTCTATTTCATATAGTTATATTTAAGAAATAGGGCTTAGTGGGCAATTGAAATCTAAAAAAACCCAACAAAACAAAACCAAAACAACCCACAATCAAGCAAAAAAACCCTCCACTGTCTACCTCAGTAGTTCAAACATACAGGAGAGCTCACAGAGCTCTCTGAATAAATTCTATTAAGAAAATAAATTACTGAGATTAATTAATTTATGGGTCAGCATCTCTCCAGTCTACAGTAGACATCGAACTCTGGTTCCTATGTTTCTATTCAGTTCAAAAAAAGGCTCCTATAAGGACCAGAGATGACATTTTACAGTGATACATGGTTTCTGTTATGTAAGTCAGAAGTCTAATTATCATCAGTACTTCCTAAACACTGCCTTTAGGAACAGTTCATTAATGATTTGTGGGAGAAGTCACAGACCACATTAAAAGACAGTCTAGATGAGCTTGCCAGCCTCCAAACACCCTCGCAGAAAGCAGTAGGTACTTACAAAAGATTCATGTTCAGAAACATCTGCACACAAAACACCGTGTGGTGCCTGAGAGAGTTTTACAGCATTTTACAGAGCATCTTAGCACTTGTTTCCAGTAGCCAAATGAAAAGCCAAGAAGGAAGCCGATACTGTAAACCTCCTACATGGGCTGCTCATTAAAAACAATGCAGTTTTTGCATTATTAAAAAACTTCAGCTACCTGTAGCAGCTCCAGACAACATACAACTCAGGCAGCACTTTGTTTAATTTCACATAAAGCAGACCCTCTTTAGCCTACAAGATCATAAGAGATTAACCTGTTATTGTCAGCTACCTAGAATACAAATGAAATAGTCCTGAATGGGAAACTAACTTAAAATGCTTTTTAAAAAAGCAGTATACATCCCCCACCATAAAAAAATGACAAATCAAAACCTCACACAGGGAATACATCAACCTCAAGGTCACTACCCCAGCTTGACTTGTAAGAAATTTTAAATGTTAAATCATATTTCTTCACGTCCCTAGAAGATCTGTAAATCTATCAATGCATTTTTTAATGAGCTCTCTATTGCAGTACATAAACATCACATGCACCCACAATTAAAAATAACCATTTTCTGTCTGAAAGATTACATTCTGTTTCTGCATTATTTACTGTTTTACATGAAACTTCCCCACTACCTCTCCATGAAAGATACTACCCTGTTTGCAGCTACTACTGGCGAAAGATTTCAGCAAAGAACTACAGAGATGTCTGCAATTATTTTGTATTAGTGCCATTAGTCATTTAATGTTTGTTTGGGTTTGTTTGGGTTTTTTTAAGTAGCACTGATTTTTAGTAGCACTGAATATTGCTTTCTGAAAGCTACTCTGGTTTTGAGTTCTGCAGGAAAGCCCATATCACTCGGAGAAACTTGGGGCTTTACTGTGTTTCACTGTAAAGCTTCTGCAATGTATTTGCATTTGGACAAGCGAGTTGCAAAGCTACATACAGAGACAGATGTTAAAGATATGCTTGCAGTTACTATCACCACATCTTTACCTTCATATTACATGCTAATTCCATCAGCTTTTTTGCATTTTCTTCTGAACGGTATCTCTTGGGTAGCTGTACGCGGAAGAATTTTAAAGCCCCTTCAAAGTCAGTCAGTAACAAATCATCCTTGGTAGTCTAGAGACAAGGAAAGAAAAAAACAGTAACTGTAAAGCAGATTTTGTATGATTACTGAAGTCCCAGACAATAAGGCAACAACAGTTTTGTAAAGCTCCAAGAACATAACTACTTTTTCACCTTCTGCAAATTAATGTTTGTTTCTATTTCTGCAACCTTCTATTTCCACACCAGCCCACCCCCAAAAGCACTGTGCTGTACAGGGCATGCAGACAACAGCACAGCTCGTACAGGAAGTTGTTAGCTTTAAAAAAAAAAAAAAAGCATAATATTTTTGTAACAGGCATCTTAATTTTTTATATGGTGCATGATGATGCATAAACCACAATGCAACATTGTATACTCACTTTTAATAATCCCAGTGCAACATTAAAGATAACACTTATTCCCTGGAGAGAAAATTAATAACAAAATAAATTAATGTCTCAGTATTTACAAGCCGGAATATTAATTTATTTGGTGGGTTTTGTTGTTTGTCTAGTTTCTGTGAAAAGGAGAACCAGGATACAAGTGTAACCAGGTGCTACATTAAATCAAAGGCCCAGAGAATGACTTTGCAAATAATTAGGAAAGTATCTTTACTGGATAGCCATTAAAGGTAGCAAAACAATGTTTCAACACAGGTTTTACTATCTCCTTAGAAGTCTGAAACTCTGAAATGATGATGACACAGTTGTGTACTTTATTTTTTAACGACTAGTTGGTCAGCTCAAGATAATTTAATTTTCATATAGCAAATTCTGAAAACACTGGATTCAAATGCAGCAATATATTCATCAATATACTAAGTTCTGGTATTAAAAAATTGGGACAGCTTGTGTAATGAAAAAGAAAGTGACTCACTTTAGGAGAGAGTCCCACATCATCTATTTTGCCACTACTCATCAGAAGTGTTTTATTTATATTGTTCAATCAAATACAAACAGTTCCTATAGTGAGTAGTAACATACACCTTCTTAAGGGAGACCTTTGATAATCAAGACACATTGCTCATCTTATTTCAAGATTCTTTTTCCCACTAAATTATTCTTTCACTATTACTTTAAAACAATTAAAAATACCTTGAAACTTCACTATGAGCACATTTACTATTTATGAATTGAAAATGTGTTTCTAAACAAGTAGAACTGATTTTCTCAATACCATCTGCTGCTTTCCATTACATTGGCACATGGACAAAGCAAGCAGCAGATAGATACAGAGAAAGGGTAAAAGCATTGACCAGATTTATGAATGCTGAAACCCTTCAGTCAAGGAAACACAGACAAATGGCCACTTCACAGTAACAAGTGCAGATCCAATGAAGAATGGATGCATAACGTTAACCAGCAAGTAAAAAAGCAAATCATTAAATAACTCAAGGACACTTCAGTACAAAATGTGATTTGTTCACTTATGTTAATAAGCCCTGACTCAAATTACACTACTTCAAGCATACTACCAAATATACCGTTCTAAACATGATTACATACAAAGTCTCAATGTAAAGAATTTTGCTCTCTAAATATATGCTGTGAAGTACAAAGAGACTTCAAGTTTCCAGGAGAAAGAGCTCTAAGCTTCTTAGATTACCAGCATGAGAGTTAGCTGGGTGATTTTATACGCAATGGCCTCCATGTAATAATATACTAGGAAAAAAAAAGTTTTCGTTGCATATAATACAATTTAACAACAGAGGAATCCACATATTTGTAAATTCACTCTCATCCCATGAACACTGTACAGAATCTCACACAGATTTAACAGTGTTACAAGAAATAGGAGATTATAAACTTATATATAGATATTGACTCCTAATTTGTATCTTTAAGATGCTGAGAACTCTTTTTCATTGCAGAAACATAACACTTCTACATAAAAATAATTATCACATGCATAGCTCTGAAAGAACAGAGAGTTAACAAGGACATGAATCAAGATAGTAAGAAACTGTCTAAAGTTGCTAGAAGTACAAGCCTCCAATTATAACACATACCTCACATAAGAGTAAGTCAATAATATGGAAGACCATGTAGAGAGGGAATTTTGCAGTGAACAGGGTGAGGAACCACTGGGAAGCATACATGTGCGCTTCAAGGCTAATGTCCAGAAAGTGGTTATACAGATCAGGAATGTATTCCTAATAATAAAAAAACCCACAGAAATATTGAAAGTTAATTTATACTATTTTGGAACTGTAGCTGAAATCCCAAAGTAAAAGTAGTAAGTAGGGTATAGCGATGCTCAGTGCAGCAAGGCAGGCTTCTGTATCCAGCCATGCCTGACAAGACAGCTGCCTGGCATGCTAAAGGACTTTCTAAGGATGCCAAAGGCTTGCCCCGGTGTGGATGCTCACAAGGACACTGGATCACACGCACAGTAAGTCCGATCTCCAAGCTCTCAGCTCAGCAGAAACCCCAGCCAGTGGATGTGCTGGTACTGCAAAGACACTCTGCGGCATGCCTGCAGCGAGCTCCGGAGGCACTGCTACGCCAGGCCGTACGGGAGCCATTCCAACTGGGCAGGAATGTCTGCCTTCAAACGTACTGCACAGTGCCAGCTGCATCAGACTGCTCTCAAGTCAACACTCTCTATTCTTAAAAAACCTCCAATATGGATAGCCCTCACTCTTCAACCTTACTAAGAGGTCACAAACACTATTCACGGATCAGATAAATAGGTAGTTTTGAATTGCAGGCTGTGATCCATTCCCTTCACACCCACCTGCATGAGGCGCTCCAGCTGATAGAACTTGCAGTGCAAATCTTCAAAGTTTTGTTTGAAAAGTTCCCTGAGTCCATAATCAAACATGATTTTGACCAGAACACTGAAAGCTTGCTCCTCAGGCATCTGTGAGAGAGGAAAGTGTATTTATCATTTAAATCTTCCATAGTGGTTCCATTTACCCTTACCTCCCTTCTCCTCCCTCTTACAGATAAGCTAAATGGCCACTACTTTTTAATCTGGCCCTATCCCATTTAAAAGTAAACAAGAATATCAACACACAAAAAGAGGTCTAGTGTTGCAAACTGCATTTCATTCTTATTCTGTGGAATGAACCACCTCTCAATCACTTGACTTAAAATACATCTTTCAGACATCAAGACCAAAGGAGTTTCTTGGTGTCTTTGTCTCAAATCACATCAAAATCAGAATCTTAAAAACTTTGCCACCTACATAACTAAGACATAAGCAGCATTACTAGAGGGTGTTAAACAGGATCTTTACCTTATTCTTAACAATATATTTACCTTTTTAAATTACAATATTACATTTAATGTTTATTTATTAGATGGCATGAATAAGAGACACCAGTAACTGCTAACATAATACAACGCAGCATTGGTTTGGGAAAGTTCATTATCCCTTTCCTGCCAAAAACTGAAGAAACACTCATCAAAGCTCGTCAGTGGTTAGACATTTTTCCCTGACATCAAAATTCAGTTTTCATATTTCCATAGTAAAGTCTGACTTCAGGTGAATCACTTGTTCCTGTAGAGGACAGAACATCCATCTCCAGTATTCTATTATTAATCTGCAGATGGAGTTTGTGAAAACTTTGCTGAGACATTCCAAACTGGTAGTGAAGGACCTGCAGAAACTTAATTTCCTTTTCTGCAACATTTCTTTTTAATATTTATTTTCCCTAGCAGCCACACTCCAAAGGCCGATGTCAAAAAGAATCAAATAAAAAGAAACTTATTTGACATTTAGCCTTTTAAAATGCACACGTTATTCCCAGAAGCAACAGCTATTGTTAAAGAAAGAACTCTAGAACAACACTTGGTTGATTCTTGACAGTGAGTCTATCTAATGCAATGGATATTTTTAAAAATGGACATATGACAATGAAAAAGCTAAAAGAAAACACATATGCTTCAGTAAAAGCATTCAGTTCTATCTATCTACCTACCTTCTTGATCTGACTCAGTGTAGTAATAAAGAATTAATTACTCATCAAGTAAATTTTTCACATTACAAAGAACTAAAAGGTTGTTATCATTAATGATTTGGCTTTTGTTTCAAAAGAATGGAGTTTACAATCTTTTCTATATCCTCCACTGACTTTACAACATTATGAAAAATCCTCCACCAAAGACTAGACTTCCTCTTCCACTGAAAACTGCGGAGAATTCTTCATACTTAGCTCTCTACAGTAGCAACAATTACTGAAAAGCAGCTGCGGAGAAGAAATCTCAAAATACTACCGGGCTTAGGAACTCTGTTCAGCTTCAACTACTCATGCTTTCAATAGGAATGCTGATAAAAAGCAGACATTATTTTAAAAAAGAACGGCCTACAAATAATTTATACAGATTTCTAATCCTCTCGTATTTCCCAAACATGAGTGAATCTAAAAACTTTTGCTTCTAATATACAGTAACCATAAATCCCTCTAGCTTCTGAACACGCAAGCAATTAAAGGATATTACCTTGATGAGATCACTTCTACCAACAACAACAAAGTTTAAAAAAGCATAAGTCAGCATCTTTAAAAAAAAATTAAAATATTATTGTATCCTTCACCAATCTCTAAAAGCAGGAAGCACAAAGGCCTACAATACAATAGCCCACACAGGCAGCGTATTGTTCAAAGCACTGAGACCTAATGAACTGACACCCCATCCATGTCACAAATACACTTCTGGGTACACAAGGTGTATGGCAATTACCATCCATATTTCTGACTGATTCCAATAGAAACTTCTATCTAAAAAGCTTAAATCTGACCTTGAAACCCTTTAACAGAAACATTTACAGTGTTGTCTTATACACAGACTCCATGCCTACTAGTGCTCATGAGTACAAGCCTGTAGAGTTTCGAATGGAAGGGATCCTGAAACAGAAACACAGTGAAATGAAAGCTTACTGTAGACAAGAGTCCTTACGAATACCACAGTAAGTTTTAAACAATGTACTCTTCTCTGCCTAAAATCACATTATTATTGACCAACATTTAAGCGGGTATGTGGCCTGCAACCCTATGAGTTCAGGAGTTACCATGTTTGTTCTAGGCAAGTGGAGCAATATTTATTCTTAAGCTTAAAGCAAACAGGGAAAAAACCCACCACTTACATGTAGTAGCAGCACAGCAGCAAGAAATGATTGGCCTTGGCAGTAGCCAATCTCTTCATCATAGACAGAGTAGGCCTAAAAAAAGAATCAAGACTTTACAGCCTATCTGTCTCAAGCTACAAACACAAAGAAAACAGAACACTGCATTGAACATGGCTCCATAAAATTTTCACGGGGTGCATCTGATCTCATGCTAATGAAGGGATAACCTGTATGAAAATCAAACTGTGAGATATAGTGGCTGGTTACAGTGATGCACCAAGGCCGCTGCAGCCCATTAAACCACTTATCTGAGTGCTTTTACATCTAAACAGGTGCTACAGGGACATTAGGAAGAGGGAGAAACAAAAGGAACACGAAAGAGTGCTAGAAGCTTAAAACATTCCAGTTGAGATAAATGGATACAACAACAAGCTGTCCATTTTTGCTGATTTGTTCCTTTTACTAAGGCACTTCAATGCATGCCTATGGCTTTATAACATTTATGGGATCTACATGGTTAGCTCCAGTTTTAAAGACAACTATATATGACAACAACAGCTTATGGCACACATTACACATAAAGAACGCCTAACATTAGCATGACTTCCTGCAAGTGTCCCTAACTTTGCTAGCACAACTTAGAAAATACTGACAAGTAGAGAGCATGCTGCAGCCAAAGGTGAGCTGCTCTTGATCAGTATGGAATTCGCCCTCATCTCCATCATAGCACATAATCTGTCCAGCTTGATCCAGGCTGACATGTCTGGAATCACGTGAAGTCTCTGTACCAAACATGTTAGTGTTCAGGAATCCAGAAAGGCTTATTACTTTACGTTTTCTATCTGAACAGCACTATAACCAGCTAAACATCTACAAGGAAGAACCAGGCTGAGTCTAGTGCCAGAGTCTGTCTCCATGATACGGTTAACAGTAATACATACACATTCTTCTCAGGTAACAGTTATATCTGTTAATGATGTTCAATACAAGTTACCAAAACCAGTCAAGAAGAATTTAAAGATTACCTTGCATATTTTGTACAGGGAGTCCTGACCATCTCCCCCAGTATCTTTAAAATAATCATGAGCAGGGAACGTTCGATTGATGTCTCGGGTGATAGCACTGTCTTGCGGAGACTCCTATTAAGGTAAAAAAAAAAAGAGTAGATGAAAACACATCAAAACAATATAAATTACAATATACTAGGAACAAGAGTTAGGAGATTGGCATCATGTTCTGTGCACTGTTCTAAATGTAAAAAAACACAGTCTACTCAACCAGAACACACTGCCTGCAGGCTGGCAGCTCCAGATCACAATCTTGGTAGATTTGGTTACCTAAGCACATCTGGGAATGGTCAGTGAGTGACAGAAAAAGCACACAGAGAGGTGTGTTCCAGGACACTGCAATGCAGGCAGCAGCCTGCCCTTGGAGACTTCTGAATGCAAATACTGCCCCGTCACATTTCTTTTATCTCACAACTGTGGAAAGTCACAGTCAATTGTACGCAGCTGCACGCTGCTGTCCAAAATTCTGTCCCTTAGTTTCAGCTCAAGAAACCACTCTTCATCCCCTCCACAGAATTAGACAATAAAAAAGCAGAGAACCGAGCGTGAGCCAAGAAAAACAGTATCATACAGTAAAACGTAACATAATGCAGGGACAGTTGCCTGTACGAGCTGGGCATTTCAGCATAAGGAAGATGGGACTTTGTTCTCTACATTGCTCTGATGCAATCAGCTTCAGATGCCTTCACCATTTGGAAAGCTGAACAATAACAAATAACATACAATTAAGAAAACCAGTAAATGTGAACAATGGACTGAAAAGACCAATTGGAAGAAACACTGAGCAAGTCTGCATTAAAGGCAGCTCTACACAAAAGGCAGTGAAAACTCTTGGTAGAGATTAAAGGAATTTGACAAAGCATAACAATTAAATACAGTTAACAGTAAAAGGGGAACTTAGGGCCTTTTCCTCCTGACTTTTATCAGAGTGATTCAAACACCAAATGATCTCCATGAAATTAGTCAGCAATACTGGTCTCAAATAGCTGACCCTATTAGGTACTGTCTGCATTGCTGAGGATGGCTTTGAAGGAATCCTGGTCCTACCTTGGAGAAGTATCCTGAAAAAAGGTTTCCAGAACATGGAAGGAAGAGGTTTGTGTCAGGCACATCATTAGAAACCATGAGCATTTGTGAACAATGTCCAGCTTAAGTTGATTTGCCCTCTACAACAGATTCACGTGCTGAATGGGAAAATAAGCAGGTGCCATTCCCACAGTGAGGTCTTCTCAGGTCTCTGCCAATATTAGACATGTGACTGGTGAGATGTTCTGACCCATCTCATTCAGTTCAGTTTGAAACTATTTCTAGTATAGTCATTTAAGTCAGAGCTCATAGCACTGCAAGGAAAAGCATCCTTTGAAAACAGAAAATACTACCCCTTCCCATCAGCAAATGAAGTAATTTGCTTATTTAGGAAGCCAACGGAAACAGCTCATACATTTCATACGTCTTCCTTTAATAGAGGAAACAACAATAAGAAATACGTATTTTAAAAACACACACCAAACAGTGACATCAATGAAAAAATGACTAGCCGGGCAAACAGAAAATAGCTGTCAAAAGATTTGACACAGTTCCCAAAACCTTTACTTTACAAGGAACATTTATGCAAACTGGAAGACTAAGCAGCTTCTTCCATGTGGATGGAAATGGGTTTCTGAAAGAGGTGTAAAGTCTCCAGCATCACAGGTGTTCCAGTCCAAGAGGGCTGTGAGCAACCTGACCTGATCAAACCTGCTTTGAGCAGAGGGTTGGACTAGGTGACCTCCAGACGTCTCTTCCAACCAAAGTTATTCTGTGATTAGCATACAACAGAAGTCACTCAAGGTGTCTTCAAAACAATTCACCCAGCATGTGATAGGCAACGGTAGCGTGTCTTTTGAATCTGAAATTGTGCTCACCATATTGAATTAAAAAATCTGAATTGGCCTGTACAGTTTCAATTACAATTTTATGCCATATTTTGTGATTTCTGCTTAATCAGATTTCAGATTCTGTATACATGTGCTTCACCATAATGTCTTGTACCTTTTGAGGCAGTTGTGACCCAGCTGTTGTCTAGCTGTTTACTGTAACCATTGCTATTACCCAAACTGCCAAAATAAAACAGAAACAAAAGCCTTTTGTTTTTCTGTAGGTATTTCTTTTTGCCTACCATTGGTCCCTCTTTCCACTATATGAAAGATGACTTTCCTGGGCAGCTAAAGAGAGCAAGAGCTCCTTGGTAGTGGGAATCATCTGAAAAGATGCCACAATAGTCTAAGCAACCATCGCTAGTGAAAGGGTCAAAGGTTCCATTGTTGAGTGGCTTCCCTGGCAATGACTGAACACACAAGTAAAATGCCAGTCATCTTCACACCTGAGATTACCACGTTAACACCGCAAACATACAAGAAGCTCTGTGGAAGCAAAACAGAAGAAATGTTTTATTTTTAAAAAAGTTTTACTGTATCCAAATAACCCATGTTTCTGCTAGACAAATGGAAAAAAGGTTAGAAGTAAAAAAGTACATAATATAATAATCAGTTTGAAGATCATTAAATATAGTTTTTAGTTAAACTTTTTCTTCAGAAAACAATTTTGCAAGCAACAAGAACAAAATAACCACAGTGTGCTTGATTTTCTCTTGTGATTTTAATCCAAGGTTAATGCTCCTCTCTGTGGCTTAATAGAGCCATTTCATTAGGAAAGCATTACACTGCTATTAGAATCAAGTTATTAGATTGTTTTGGACATTATATCAAAAGTACTGTTCAGCACTGCAATTTGATAATAATTAACATGCCAAAGAGGTCTGGCTCATTATAAGGAAATCAGAAACAAACAAAATCCAATGCTAAATAAATTTCATATACTATAAGCCTTTTAAGTCAACAAGGAAAGAGAATGGCTGGCCGGTAGCCTCAGCCAGCTTTGCAAGTAGAGAGACAATGCTCAGAAACAATTCTGAAAACTTCAAAGCACGTGACTACAGTCTTAGTGATAGATTTCAGTTTCTTAAAAGTTTGCAAGACTGAATTACAGTGAAGTACTCTGCTTTGCAAGAGCACAGGTACCAAACAAGTGGGTTTCCTGAGTGGTACCTGTGTTCTGCTGCAATGGCAAAACATCCTTAAATCCACTTGCCTTTTAATCCACTCATTTAATAGTAGAGACCAAAGCATGTGGTTGGAACTCTTAGAACAGGCTTCTCAAACAAATCACTCATTATGGCTAAAGAGAACTAATTAGTGGTCTCTCTCTGGCTTTGCGTGACTTGTTCAGCACTTGACTCTTCTGTTTCAGTACAATTCTTCAAGTAATCTGTAACGCTTGTTCCTGCAGCCGAAACAGAACTTGGGGAGAGAAAAATTAACGGAAATGATAAGGTTTAAAAATGTTTTTCAAACCATGGCTTTGAAATCTCCCCATTAGTACACACTGCTGCAATCCAAGCATTGTGTAACCTTTTCTTTACTCCTATTTTTATACCTTGCTGTGAGAATTGGCTCAATGGGCAATTTCTCATGCTTTCAGGGGACTGGGAACTGAAGGAAACCCTTCTGAACCCACACCCTTCACAAACTGGAATTGAAAAATAGAAAGCTAAGAATGACAGGAAGAAAAAGAAAGTAATAAAGAAAACAGAATGGAAAACAGCCATGAGAACTGAGGCAAGCGTAGTGAAGATTAAAATTCTCACAACAGTTCACTGCTCCAAAGGAAAGCAGGAGAATGTAGATGCTCAGACTAAGAACATACCCTTCTTCCCCCTCTTTTACACACTTCAAAACACTAGCGGAGTTATACTCAAACCTTCATCTACAGTTGATTTTAAAAGAAACTGAGTAATTATGGAAACCAGGATGCAGTCCAGCAGATAAAAGCTCATCTATTGCATCAGGCTGTCTATAAAAGCATATTAGTTCCCACCTCCTAAACTGGATGTGCTTAAAAGACATTTTCCTCATATTTTTGTGATCTTCAGGGGACCACCCCAGGATATGCAAACCATATCATGCTGTTTACAACCTCAACCATCTTCAGATAGGGACTGTGTTACTTTAGAAGCTTTTTCTGTAGCTTTAGCTACAATTAAAAGACATGGAAGAGCTGGAGTTACTAGTACCTCTTCATGGGGCTGTTCTACTTGCTGTTTTCAGCAGCTCAGGTTTATTCCTTTTAATCCCCTACATAAACCCAAGAAGATGAAGCAGCAGCAACAAAGAATTGCTAAAGGGCAAGATCTGTGATGCAAAACCCCCTGAAATACGAAATCTCCAGAGAAGCAGAGGAAGTTGCCTGCTGGAAGTGGCTTGCTGCCCAAAGATCAACTCCTGTCTCACCAGGCTTCTGGAGAAATCCAATGGGGGCATAAAACATAAAACCTTTACCTAGACACAGGTTGACTTAAAAACAACACAAAAATGGAAAAATGGTGAAATCCAAACTTTAGATTCCCCCGTGCCCCTATCCCCAGAATGATTCAAAATACAGAAGTTTGCTCACTGGGGTGACTTTTCTGACACATCCACTACAAAAATCAACTCAGCTTGATTCTCACTCTTGCAACAATGGGATCAATTGTCACACGGCAATTATTTCTTAGGTAGGTCCCACTGACTTTGCAAGGATTTTGTCACACAGTTAGAGATTGCTGAGAGAAGGGCCTAAAGACTCAATCGACCAGGGAAATGTCACCTGCTTTGCCTGGGGTCAGGTCAGCACGTGGCATGCTGTTGCAAAGCATCTCTCTGCAAGGCATGGACAAGCCATTCAAGAGAGCACCAAGCCAGCTGACAGCTTTCAGCAGTGCCAACAACCAGAAAAAGCCAAAACTCTCTGAAACTTTCATGGGCAGCAACAAGGGTAATATTACATGATGGGGATAAGTTATTTTGAGCAGATCTGTACATTTTAAGTATATCCAAAAATAATAAAAGGTCTTTTGATACCTATTTTCAATGTTAGTAGGATATCATGTCACCAGGTCTATTTTGCAGGTTGATGGCATTCCCAAGATTACTTTTAATAAGTAATATCTACACTCAGTTTTACACAGAGTACATTCCCTGCATTTGCCTTTGACCAAACCATTGTGAGAAAGTTTTGGTAAAAAGAATCACACCTGTTACTAGGACCTTAAGGAAATATCACAGAACCCATTTGCAAAGCAATGTACTTGCTAACTTCTCACAAGAAATGCTGCCTGCAGAACGTGTTACCTGGAGTTATCACTTACCGGGAACATTCACAAATTAGTATTTGTGGAAAAAACCTGAATAATTCAGACAAATTCAGAATGGTTAGATGGCTGCAATTTGATACAATAGTGCATTGATACCGCATACTTTCAGTCCAAATATGGCAATATAGTGCAATTCTAAAAATAAAAGTGAATCCCTTGTGATATCCAGCCCTTTTGCTGTGTTTGCTTCCTTTTAGGGCTCAAGTTTCCCACAGGAAAATTAGAGAGAGGAGTTTGCCTACAGTACCCTGCATCATGTATGGACAAAGCATAAACATGAAACGTATGCTGGAAGGTTTTCCTGCTCTTGGCAATTACGTACAAGCCAGACTATTTAAAGCAATCAAGATAAGAGGAAAAAACCCCACCCACTCCCAAACGAACACACCTTTATCAGCACGGTTACATAAATGTCATCCGAGACAAGACGTGAAAACGTGTGACGTATCATTTATTTCTTAAATGTATTTATGATCCATTCAGACCTTTCAAATAAAGTGTACAAGTGCATTTCAGAATAAAAAACTACACTCTTCACACAGCTCTGTAGAACACTACATTTCATCAAGAAACTTCAAGCAAAAACTTCCTATTAAACCACCCATGCATCCTTTGGCTACAATAATATCACTGATCAACAAGTACTGCTATTCAATTCTGAGTTTCCCTTTAAAGAGAAGGAGCATCCTAAAATATGCTACCCCTTCCAGAGACCTCTCTTTAAAGAGAGAATATTAAATAAATTAGCTAGGCTTTTAGGCAAAACAGTAAGGCTACTTAGTACTGTTGATGCATGATCCATACATTTGGAGAACAGGCAATCCTAGGCTATGTGAAATGCGTCAACAGCCCTTGAAATTTTAGTAGTATCAAGATTACATCAATCCAGAACAAATGGCAGACAAAAATGTAACCAGTGGAACAATCACTGAAAAATGTGCAGTTTCTGTTAGGATGGGAAGTGCTGATAACAGATTCAGAAAAGTGTTCAGAAAATTTGCTAAGAACCACATTGACATTCTTAAAATTACGTATTTTACAAAGCCCTAAACTGTGTGACTGTACAATTACTGCCATGTTAAACTGCTTCTTTTAATATATATACACACACATATATAGATACAATACATCTATATATGTATTTTAAAACAAGCAATTTAACACAGCAGTAATTGTAGAGTCACACAGTACACATATATATATGTATGTACATCTACAGCAAAAAGGAAACAAGCCAAGAGATGTATGACACAGCTGGGGTACAGATCATCTCAAAGGGAATAATACATTTGAGTTTTAATAGTTCATAGCAAAATTACCTCTTGGAAATAATTATGCAAAGATTTAGAATCAGATATTTACATGCTTCTGATTTATCTAGTGCCATTTAATATTTAAAAATATGCAAGTATTATTTTAAATCAGTAACATTTGTCATTTTTGGCTCAACTGTAGATTTTTCTCATTATTAGTCTTAGTTGAAAAATCAGCTACAGAAACATCTTAAAATGATGGGGTAGAAGTATCCCTCTCCCCTGTATTTTAATAACAAGTCTGAGTTGGCACAAAATACATAATTCTGGAGCCACAACACCAACCCTTCCTCAGCTGCCTTGCATATCAAAACACCCACCTTCACTACCTCCCCTTCCCTGGCAGAGTACAAAACTGAGCAAACCCAAGCAGAGATGAGGAACATCGAGGAGCCCAGGCTGACGTCCTGATACTCCCCATTCCGTCAGAATTAAACAGGGAAGTAGAGAGTCTTAAGGGTCGGATTGGCTCTAATTCACCTGTTTGCTTTTCTAATCTGCTTTGGTGGATTTTTTTTTCCCGTAGTTCTTCATAGCAGGGGTTTCACACTCACACCTCTTTCTCATTCTTTTAATACAAAACAATTTCCAGCAATAAAAGGTGCACAAAGTTCTTACAAACACACACACACAGACATTCTTACATGTGATTTTGTCTATTCCTGGCCTTTTCACTGACACTCAGGAAAAAACTACCAGTTGTAACACTACTCGTGGAAGGAGCTCGACTGTCTCCCAAACAAAACTTCTCCTAACGACCCTCTGACAAGTGTCAGTTCTCCACAGAACACACTGAAATAATCTCATCAGTGGCTTCTGTGTCCCAGTTGCTGTGAAGGCGCAAGGAGACAGGTGGGACACGAGCAAAAGCAAGCATCTCGAAAGGAAGATCGCTCCACTGCATTTTGTTCAGCAAAGCAACCTAAAAGCACATGCGCGCATAGCCTCCCATGCTTGCGGTTTAATTGTAAACAGCATGTGGAAAAAAAACAATTAAAAAAAGTACTAATACAATTTTGAAATCCCTGAAGAAAAGACATACCCACGAGTATTAAGAACAGTAAAAAAAGCTCATCATTAGCAATTGCAAACTCGTTTCCATCCTGTTGCATTCATTAGAGGAATACAAAATTGAATCTAGTGTTTACATGCTAGAGTTACAATAGAAACTAGATTTCAAAGGTTACACATGGAGAGAAATTTATCAGCATAGGAACTTGCAAAACACTGTGCTGTACAGCATTTCTAAAGACATATGTCTGTGAAGACAATATATGTGATTACAAATCCTTTCAGACAGTTCAAAAGCATGTCTGGAGGTAATGCTACTTCCTGTTATCTGAAAGGATTAATGGCACCATTATTTTTATTAGGTTTTAATGACAACGATTTATCCTCAAGAAATACCTAACCCCTCAAAAAACGAGGTGATCAGAAATGTACAGGTACCTTACAGCCCTCAGGGTTTTATTTCTTTCTACACTGAACATCAATTCCTTTGACAGCATCTACAGAAAATGTTTTAAAAAATGCTTTTATGAAATACTTTTAATACTTAGTAATGCTAATATTTAAAAATACTTCACAGTGTGATACTAATGTAACTTCATAAAACGAGCAACTTGAGTTAGCTAAAGCTCAAAGCCTTACATTATATTAAAATAGTCCAAAGATTTCACACACACACACACAAAATCACTAGCACTATAAATATACCTAAGCCACTTTAGTGCAAAGTCTGGTTTTGCTTCCCCTGACAAATCCCTCTATATTCCTGCCAGCATATTAAAACGTCATCCTTTACTAATCCAATTATTGATTTTCAAGGATTCATTTACAGTTTAAATCCCAGAAGAACTTTTTTCAATTTACCATAAAAGTAATGACCTGGTTTATTTTAAGCATTTGATTGCTTGTATCTTGTGATCTTTGCAACATTTAAGAATGACTCGCATATGCACAGCAAGATTTGAGTTCATCTTTACAAGGAGTTACTTGAAATTACTCAACTTTTTAATTAACACGATCTCCAGTAATGACCATCAGAGAGAAGCCAAAGCTTTGAATTACAAAATTGCTAGCCTCATCTTACAAATTCATAACAATGAAGTCGAAACAAGCAGTTCGACCTCCCCTCCCTCTCCCATGCTGCACCTCAGGCACTCCCTCAGGCCAAGGAACTGCCCGGCACCAGCACCAACTGCTAACTTCAAAATGTGTTTGTCTATCAAAACCGCGATTCTAAATATAACCTAATGCAATGTGCATCCGCTCAACTTTTCCAAAAACTTCTTAGCAAATAAAGCTACTGGTTATCAACCTGCGTACAGGTAGCAGTCCCACGGTGAGCTGGCCGCCTGGTCTCTCCCTGGAGCAGAGCCTGCACCTCCTCTGCTCAGCTCAGTGACCACAACACTCCCCAACGTCTTCAGGCCAAAACAAAGATGACTTTAACAACTTCTGTTTCTCAATTTAAGCAACCACAAATTCACTAGCTAGAGAATCAGTTTTGACTGGACAGATTGCTGAAGTACACCAGAGGCTGTAAATAAACAACCTGCATCAGGATACAGGAACATAACTTACTGTAATGTTTTCATTAAGTGCTACAGCTCAAGAGATCCACATAAGATATGGGCAAAATCCGCAAACACTTCCATTTGCAACCACCACTAAATGCATGTAGAGCAGACACACGCTGTGGCTTGTTTTAAACTCTGCAATGGGAATAAAAACTGAAATGGGACAGGACTCAATATTGAGTGCAGAACCATCAGCAAAGCTGCCTGCATAAGCAAAACATTTCACCTATGCAAAAAACCTTGTGTCACAGAAAAAAACCATGAAAAGCAGACTAAAACTCTATCACATCAAATTATTTCCCTTTTGCTAGATCACCTAAGATGGTCAACCACGGTACAGACTGGTATTATCCCAGTTTACCTGAACTGAATTGGAGGGGCTGGATCCCAACTAGTCTGAAGGGAATCCATTTGCTGTGGGTGCAGGAGCCTCTGGAGTGCAGCAAAGCAAAAGCAAGAAGGTTAAACTCCATCTTTTAAAAAATGCATTGTAAAGGATATGACCCAAATTAAATACTCCATTGTTTTGACAGAACTGCAGTTTACATCCTACCACAAACCAAGCACAGCTGTCCAGTGGGTTTCCTTTGTTTGTTTCCACTGGCCACAACTTTCAGTTTCTTTCTCTAAATACACCTACATCTGGTTTTATACATACTAAATTTTAATTGTGATGAGCTCTCCCACTCCAAAAACATTCTACATACGTAATTTTAGTATTAAATTGTCTGCCTTTGCTTATCTACAGAAAATGTCTTTCAAAGCAGTACCTTTGTGATGCGCTTTAAGACATCGGTGGCCTCTAGAAGCAAGGAGAACACTTCTTTTCTAGCACAAAATGCGTTGTTTTCACGATGGGGGGTTCTCCCATTACCCTAAAGGAGGGTTGTTTACTTTGCTGGAAACAGTCTATAAAATCTGACTGCCCGGTGCTCTCAGCAGCCGTGACTTATCCTGAGGACTAACCTGACCTCAGCCAACTGTATTTCAAGCCCACACTATTACAAAGTCTAAGGGACCTGAAAGCGAGTAACAGATTTAATATACCTGATTGACCTGAGACCACAGCCACACACAACAGTATTCATTGTATAAAGATTACGAAATATAAGAAAAGTCCTATGTCAACCATACTCTCTCAAGCTCTGAATTTCAACTATAGGGATTGAAAGAGAAGAGCAGAAAATGGATTGAAAGACACTGGCAGGCTGAGACAGCAGGGACTAAGCTCTGCTTTCACCAGAACAAACGGACTCGGTGTGAGCACTTCGCCACCAACACTATGCCCCAGCCTGTCCCCTCCTGGAAGCCTCAACAGAACCGCCCTGAGGTTAGCAAAGTGTCTGTTCCTTTAAGTGGCATAAGGGAGGACACCTACTCTTCCCTCAGTTAAGTATAAAAACAGGGAGGCCTTTACACCTCTTGGAACTCAGCAGAACATCAGTTACAAACATGTGCTTTGCCAACGTCAGGTCTTGTTGGTAGTGAGGTAAAATTCAAGATTATCTTGAATAACACCATGGAAAGGATGCGTCGTTGTCTTCTGCAAAGTCACAGAAGGGAAGAAAAAGGTTTCGAAATTAAACCACAAAATAAGGACCAGGTCAGGCAAATGTTTTAGCAGGTGCTTCAAGTACCTGGAACTAAAAATGTGTTAAAACAACAAAAGTCCTCCAAAACCTCCACCTCCTCTTATTAAATTAAATTACCTACAATAGATGAATCAAGTAATAGGAAAAATTTTAAATGGGTCTTTTGTTTGTAATGTCTAAAGGCTGGCTCCTATGCTCAGACAGAAGTTGATAAGAAGTATGTTTTCTAAAGCACTGACCTGAATTCAGAGAAGTTCTGTCAACTTCCAACCCTGATGTGAAGTAAGATTAGACTGAAATGTTTCAGATGTCTTGACTCGTGAAGGTTCACTACATCTGTTACCATCACAGCAGTTGGTAATACCACAATAAATATCGAAAAATCCACTTATTAAATTTGCATACTGAATGTTTCCATCTCACATCACATATATGCCTTGGAAGCATCTTTTTCAGAACAGAGAAACTACTGAAATTTAGGACAACTTTCAGTAAAAGCTTTATATGAACAGGAAAGGAATAATGCCATAGAGATGCAGAGCAAGACTGAAATTCGGAAACTCTCATTCAAGTCTGCTGTAAGAAAGACTCTTCAGGCAACCTCGTGCTACTCATGTGATTCTCTGCGCCTTGGTACTTTGTACACTTTCTTCTTGTCAAAGACTTGTCACAAATATTCAAGATTGCCCCTTGGCACTCCGACACTGAGGATGTCAGAATCCCAACCACTAGAAACAAATTTCTGTGTGGTAAGAAGCTTAAAAACAAGTACCAAATCGTAATAGCAACTAAAGACTGTAGAAACTATTAACATTTAATTAAAAAAACCCCTAAGAGTAGATAACGGCAAAACTTTCATTTCACACAAAAGATATCTGTCAAGTTAAAAAATACTGTCACTTGATTGGAGATTATAAAAAAAAAAAAAAAAAAAGTATTTCACAGATTTTCTGCCAGCCTATTTGGAAAATGACAATATAATCACAACCTAAACTTCCAGTAAACTTTAGCTTCAGCTAGAACTCTTGATTATTGTTTTTAAATTATTACCTTCTGAGAAGTTGTGCGCATAGAAATCCTGTCCATGGTACTAAAAAAATGCCACTGAATTGCATCCTGGAAATTGAACCTACTAGCAGCTTTATTTGAAAATGAGGCAGATAACCCTAATAAAAAAAATAAATTTATAGTCTGAGATGGAACTTCAAAATTAGTTCATTTAATCATATCACAACACACAATTTTTATGAAGATGTAATTTGATTTCTGTATTCTACTTGGTGTGGCATTCATCTGTGTAATGCTCTTGATAGCAATTTCTAAAGCACCAGGCACACTCGGACACAAATATAGCCAAGGAAGGATTAGTTTCATATGTACAATGATGAAAGTGATCCAACTGGAAAGTCTGCTGCCTAACAATTCATAGCACAGATTGTGATGAAAAGGACTACTGTGCCTCATGTTAACTATATGACAAAGGATGTTGAACGGACTGCTGAGCAAACAAGGTAATACGTTTCAAGATTATTTCTTCCACAGTTGGCACAGTGAACAAGAATCACCCCCCTGCAATTTCACTGAAGACAACAGACTCAAATGTTTTGAATATTTAAAACATCTAATCATATACAAACCTAGAGCAACATTAAATTAACTTAGAGGAAAAAAAATAATTTAAATTTAAAAAAAATCAATAAATTAACACAGACAAAATAGAAATATCTCACACTAAAACTAAGCTACTGAGGCAACATTTAAAAGTGTGTGTAAAAACACTGGATGAAACCTGAACGCATCAATTGGCTGCAACTCCTCTCCGTCCTCATCTCTTAGAGACTTCCAGATTCTGATTTTCACCTCTCACGGAAATCATCTGAGCTGATGAAGACTTTGAGATGAGTAAGGCAACTGAACAAAAGCCTGGCTGTTAGGAATGTTATAACTGAACCTTAGCTGCAAATCAACAACAGCTGCAAGCATGCATCTGCATCTGCAACCACCACCACACTTCAAGTACAATTCTAGGCTTATAGCCGAAGTAGCAACTGCTTCATCTCGAGTTAAATCTCTATGCCATCATTTAGACCCCTTACCACTTTTTTACGTTTTCCATATTCTCAAAAGCTAGCATACAATGCTCCTATTTAAACCCTCTATTCATGCCATGAAAAAAAAAAAAAGCAACAATCTTTGCTCTCTGGCTTCCACTTAAATCTGAAACTGCCATTTTTAGGGTTTTAGGCCCTAGAAGATTATTTTCTTCTATTAAATTTAATCAAATGCTATTTTAGCAATAGATTGCATCACTTGGAAATGTTAGATAGGGTGAAGAGTTGGAGAAAAGCTATCGGGAGTTTACCTGAGAGGCTGTTCCAAAAATACCACACACACACTTTGATATTAGTGACTAAAGCCCTTAAATTGTTCCCCAAAGCCCACTTTTGCCATAATACCTACAAAACACTTGAGAACAATTAGCCAGCTGATGTGCTGTGAGCTTATTATACCATTTATAAATGACTCACTACACCCTTACGCTCTGCTCCCCCACAGCTGTCTGTGTCTCTAACCAAAATTCAGACTGCAAGAGCTCTGCAGAACAAATCACCTCCGTCCTGTCTGTGCAAGGATCACAGTGTAAGCCCTGGCTCTAGACACTTATTACACAAGATAACAAGAAATGTCCTTGTGAAGGCGTCAGGGGTTAGACAAGCTTTGTGCTTAAAATTTCACATGAACCAAGGAGGAAGTTTATCTCAAGAGGTTTGGATTATTGATGAAACACGTTGAAAGCAGACCAAGATATGACTTAAACGTGCTTTGTAACAGGGCTCTCACACCCAAACTAGGCAGCAATAGAACGTGGTTCTGCCCCATCCTGCCCAGGAACAGGCAGACGCACATATCCGTAAGAGGAGCTCATGTCTACCAGCAACAAGCGCTGACCAGTACAAGCCATGCCAGGAGCGCTTCATCCCACTGCTCTCTCTTTTCTTCACAGTTTCCTCACTGCCAGCCTCACAAGACTGCACAGGAGTGAGTGTGGGTGGGCAGCAAGCAGGATGGCCTGTAGCAATCACTGCACGTGCAAACACAAGACAGACACACAAATGGTTATCCTCCAGGGCAAAGCACTTAAGACGAGAGGCCAGGGCTCACCACAGACCAGAGAGAAGGGTACGTGTGTGCTTGCAGGAGGGACAGGGCAGAGTACTAAAAAGAGGATGATCTTGATCCGTAACAAATATAAAAAGCTTTCCCTTTGGCCAAGAGAATTACCCCAATTCTAAAAAATCAAATTACTTTTCCCTAATCGTTTTTCATTCCCACTATGACTAACAGTACGCACCAACTGTAGCACACAAGCTCACCGAATTCCCCCAGATGACAGCAGTCCAACGCACCGACTGGAAGCACAACGAAGGAAGTGGACCGCGGTCAGTCACAGCGTAGAACCTGCTCTCAGACCAGAAGTGTGGTGGGACGATATCCCTGTACCAGGCATAGGGAGAGCTAAGACGATGCAGACTGTATTCCATTATTACAGGAATATGTGGTTCACTTTCATTGTCCCATATGGCATCAGTAAAAAGACAAGGATATTCTTCAGGAAAACTGATCGATTTGAGGGCCATACTGCCTTCTTAACAGCATTACAGTACTCAAAAATATTTAATCTAAGCTAGCTTGAAAAAGTTGTGGTCAATGAGATTTTGTTTCTCAGATACTGACTTTGACTGGTTAGATACACGTTTGCCAACAGGATTTAGCTCCTGCTATATTCGAACCATCTTTAATCCCGTGAAGGCTAAAGAAAAATGTCTCTGATTTAGCTCCATGCACTTATGAATAACTCAAATACTACAGTTAAATTTACAGCATAGTTCCCTTAGCTGTTTAGAAGACAATTGTTTTCTTTCCTTTCCCCTTAAGTTCTAGTATGCAAAATATCAGAAGAATTTAGATTAAAAAAAAAAAAAAGAGGGGGACATGTTATTTTTAAAGTTGTTCTTGAGAAAATTTCCACATACAAAACCGTGGCATTTCTCCACTGGTTTGAGAATAATTTTCACATGTTGGCATCATCCTCGAGTGGCTGCCACAACTCTGGTATCATAAAGCTACATATATTTTCTCTTATCACATTTTATTTAACTGCTAAATTTGGTCTGATCCAAGTCTTTCTTCTTACTTCACAACAAACAGGAACATGCAAATGCTGTACTCTGATTGCACACATGCATCCTACCAGACAAATGGGGCACAGAAGTCAGATCAGTCCTCTTAAGCGTACGACTGTTCAGATCACATCGCCGCGCTCATGGCTCAATAAGACTTAATAAGTTCACACTAAATTGTTCACATTGTTCACTACTGTTCTAGAAGTGCTGTCTAGGCAGCATTGAAAAACAAATTGTTTGGCCCCTTCTGTTATAATGCTGGAACATTGTGTCAATATACTTTGGCATATATTAAAAAAATCCCTGTAATATACCATATACTGTGACATTTCCACTTCAGATCTATCATTTACATGTGAAGCACGAATCTCGAAAGAACCTAGTAAAGCTGTAAGAAAGACTACATTTTGCCGAAGCTCTCAGACACCCACTCCATTCAGTCACACCAGCTGGAGAGGTAAGTGTCAAGATACAGCTTTATTCTTAAAAATGAATATGGAGGTGAAACTCCACAGCCTCCTCCACAGCAGTAATTTTTTAAAGTGAAATCACAATGGTATGTGCTCCTGATTCTTCTATGTCAGCAGCATTTCTCAGAAACCTTTTTGCAAATCTGGACATCTTAAAACCATATTTAACTTATTTTGCAATTTACAGAATTGTCCCTGCACTTCCCAGTCCAGCTGACAGGCGTCTTAGACATGACATCCATTGGAAGATCTTTTGCTCCTAGAGGTAGAGGAGTCCTTAGCTACCCTCTGTCTAGCGCAAGAAGCACAAATAGCCCCGGAGAGACGCTTAAGCCCCTTCTGAAACACACTGTTGGACAGACTGTAAATGACACAGTTGCAGAAACTGTTGCTAATGGCAAGCCAAGTGGTCAAGAAGGATGCAACACGGTTACTATAGACATTGGAGCTCTCCAGCAGAAAATAGATAATGTAGGGCAACCAGAGGATGTAGAAGACACTGGTGATGCGGAACAGAACCATGGCATAGCGCTTGTCCGGGCAGGGCTGTGCCTCCCCAGCCTCCCCATCCTGAGAGCTGAAGCGCACTCGCCTCTCGTTGATCTCCTTGGTGTGCTGCTGGCAGATGCGGAAGATGTTGAAGTAAGTGAAGCAGACGATGAAAGCAGCCGGGGCATAGAGCATCACCACAATGAAGAGGGTAAAATAGGGATCGGTGTTCCAGGAATTGGCACACCACTGAAACACATCCCCATGATATCCAGGCTTTCCCCAGTGAAAGGAGGGTAAGAAGACCAGGCAGGAGTACAGCCAAATGATCAGTATGCAGATTCGAAGTCTCCATGGGGTAACAAGCGTGTTGTAGGTCAGTGGTTTTGTGATGGCAATGTATCTGTCAATACTAATACACGCCAAAGAGGCCATGGAGAC